CCCCAAATGACAATTGTATTTAACACTCTATGAAGAACAATCTTTTAAAGTTTAACCAAACCAAACAATGACTCTAGAATGGAAGAAAGCAGGATTTTGTTTTAAGAAGCAGACCGTTTGAAGAGAGGAGCTAGTGTGGGGTTGGCCCATCGGGAGCGATAGACTTGGTCTTTCCCGGCTGTACTGGAGACCTTCAGTTCTTACAAATCAGTGTGCAGTGAGGGGTGTTCCGCCTGAGTCTGTATAATTTTTCAGTAAAAAACATGTCTTCAGCTGCCAGAACTTACAGCTAACGTTACCTGTCTATTGCTGTTCCCCAAAATTAAAATTGTCTTGTAATTAGGGTCATTTTAAAATAACGTCTACGTGACTAACTTGTTCTTTGAGACAGGCTTCAGTGACAGGTGATTGCTCTGTGGTTGAGTTTCGTGGTGTGATTGACTATTCTGCGTGCACTATTAATGTCAGTGGAAGTTATTTTGAGGGATTCATGAATTCTAAGTAAATATTAGTGGATTTTGGTTTTGTTTTAGAAAATGGTGTGCTGTGGTGAACCTATGAGTTGGTCAGTTATTTCTTCACTGACTGGCAGATGTGCTAGGAAGAGGTGGGCTTTGGCTTTTTGGTTTTAAAGTAGTTAACCTTCAAGGTGAAGAGTAGGCAGTGTATTTTCTAGGCAATTTCAGACAGAGAGGATAGCAAGGTTTTAAATAATTTTGAAATAATATGACTGTAATGATAGGTGTGTGAATCTTCTGTGGTGTGCCAGTCTTCACAGAATGGCTGGAGTTGGAAGAGACCTTAAGGATCATGGATCTCCAACTCCCCTGCCACATGCAGGGTCACCAACCTCCCCATTTAATACTAGACCAGCCTGCCTGGAGCCACATGTAATCTGGCCTTGAACACCTCTAAGGTGTCTTATAAATAATTATTATAAATAAGATGTTTTTCAAGCTGGATTTCAGTGTAACTGGATCTTCTGTGGAGTTCTGAGATGCGTCTCTGAAGAGTCAATACCCAACATGGGTTTAAAACTGCATGAAAGATAATCAAGTGCTGTCAGGGAGCCTTAAGCTTTGTATAATGGTGTGGTCATGAGATTCTGACATGAAAAGTTGAACGCACAAAACCAAATATTAACTTTAAAATGTGATTGAAGATATATATATATACACATATATTTAATACTTTAGATTAGCTACCACAAATTTTATTTAATTTACAGCCTTAGTGATCGCCTAACAGACGATGTTATTGTTTTAGTAAGCATTGTCTTTGCAGTGGAGCCTTTCTGCACCTTTTAGTGTCTTTTTGGCTACACAAGCAAATGTTGAACTGCACTAGAGTTAATGTGGTATTTGTACATGGATTATAACGTATTCTTTGTGAAACTGAATACACAGCTCTGCTGCTTTCTGGGTACCAGTTGAAGTTGCAAGACCTGTTGTAGTCACTCCCTGAGAGTCTGTCAACAGATAGGAGTCATTATGAGCATTTTCAGCGTGGACAGTATTGGAGCATGGTTCTGGAATTTGTGTTCCTGTATGTTTGTGTAATACCCTTATCTGTGCTTTCTCTAAACTTGCATTGAAGAGGAATGTGGAAAACATGCGAAAATAACTCACTGCCATGGTTCTTGCTTAAAGAAAGTTGGACCTCAAATGCTTCATTGAAGGTTGCTGCACAATTACGTCAGTCTGTTAAGAAAACCTTTTATCTGCAGTTGTTTGAGAAGAGGGCAGACAGGTGGTCGTTGTATCACACCCAGCAGTGCCATAGTAGCAGGTGCTTAGACAACACTGTATGAGAAGAGCTGCACAGGTATCACCATACACTTGCTCACCGTTCTGTCTCTCAGTGATTTTTGTGGTCTAGGAACTGCAGAATGAGAAGTGGCCTCTTTGAAGTTTTTCATGAATTTTCTTCCCTTAGTTTTCCAAGCTGTGTGAACTTTAAGCTTAATTGTGCATTTTGTGCACATTTTTTTTGCATTGAAGCTGCCCTTCATGCTTTTTCTGTCTCCTCATCTTCGAACAAGAAGGCATTGTTTTATATTTAACTTTCCCACGTCACTCATGGCCATGTGGAAATCTGTCCACTTATGCTTTCATCCACCTTTTTCCTGTGTCTGTTGAGATGTTCCTCATACAGAAACTGGGCTATGTCTGTCCTGTGTTGCTATTTCTGTACTTGTTGATCTGTTTGGGTAGAAGGTAACAAAGCAGAAGTGCATGTGGAATTGGCTCTATGTAGGATGTGTGATGGAATTATTTTGTGTTCTTTTTGTTTGTTTTTTAGTTTTTGCTCTGTGTTTCTCTAACGGTCTGCGTTGTTCCTTTTTTCTTTTCAGCTCAGTGCCAAAAAGCTGGTACTGCCATAGGCAATTTTGTTGTAACTCGAGTTCCTATCCTGGGGTGCAAATAGCTTCAGATTCACAATGCTGTGTATTGCATTTCAGATTCTGTATCAGTGGACTATTTAGCCCTTCATTCAGCCCTCAGAAATGTGAACATTTTCAACTTTGCTCAGGAGATAAAAGGAATTGGTGTCAGGAGGCAGTGCTTCTGCTCTGTGGGAAAGGATGAGTTGGCTAAAAGTATTTCGTCTTTGCACTTTTCTTCCCCATCCATTTTATTTTTGAATTCTTAAGAAAAAGTGATACTGGGAAATGGAGCTATTGTCTAGAAATAGACCAGATGAAGTTAAATGACTGAAAGGTGCTAATCTGAGATTTTTTTATTGGTGATATTTTTCTCTCTGAATGTTTACTTGTTTACTTCTTTCTACTGCATGTTCTTAATCAAAATTCCAGCAAGTGCATGCCTGTCAAGTGTTTTACAGCTGCCAGGCTCATGCAGTAAGATTCAGAGTGTGTGGCAGAAGAACTATGAAACTATATCTAAATTGCATAACAGTTAAATAGCTATTGAGAATACACTTTAAGCTTAGCTAGTGCTTTCTGTCTTGATGCTGTCTGCATAGGTTCAGCACTTCTGTTTTGAGGAAATGGAAGCAAAGCTTGTGCTAGTTTTGCCCCTTTTGCTGGTAGGACACTGTTGTACCATTTCTTGCTCTCTTTCATCAGTAGAATTTGATGCGCCCTGTGTGATTACTTCCACATAAGGCTTTCTGAACAGCTCTGGCAAAATGAGCCCTAAGTTCCATCAGAAACAGCAGCAGGGCTGTGCCTCCAGTGTGCATTTGTCAGGCATGCCCTGTGCTGGGAGGCAGCTGAGGACCATGCTCATGCCTTCTGGTGTAAAAGTTTGTCTCCTTGAAACTTGAATCACTTGGGAAGTACCACAGGATACTGCTCAAATATAATACTGCACTTATTTGTCCAGTCTAACATCTTTCTCATGTTTGTCTCACAGCAAGCAGAATACGTGATGTCTTGCTTAGCTTCCCTGTTGTATTAAAACTAAAATAGTATCACATCCACTCCCTGGCCTTCCATCCTGATTGCTGTCTCATGCAAGGCAGTGTAAACACCTCATTGAAACATGACTCATTTTGATGATTGCAGATGATTATTTTTGAAGAGCAAATAGTTGTGACATCCCTAAACCAAACTTACAGAGGCAGTAACTTGGATCACTGGTTAAATTCTTCTAAGTCTTCTGTCTCTCGTACCCAGTCTTGCTGTAATTGGAGGACAGATGGGCTACCCAGACATTATTACTGTTTTGCACGCAAGCAGAAAGAAAAAGTTGCCATGGAAAGAAGTCTGTTACTGCTAATTAAAATAAAGAACATCAAAGGGATTCTCACGAATCAGTTAGAAATACCTTACTGATACGGGAATGACAAGTTATACCATAAGCTACTTTAAGGCTTTAGCAAATGTTATAGTCAGCTATGATTGATGCACTTTGTAAGTATTTCTTTGTCATATTAAGGGGCCACAAGACTGGTTCTGAAACCATACTGTTAAATATTTGTTGTCAGAGCCCAATCTTAGAGTGTGCCTTTGCTTTTAGTAACTTGCTGTTAGCTGTATCAGCGTGAGCATGCAAAATCAATGCATAATTTTTATTCTGCAAAAATATATATGAATCTATACTGGATGTGTGCACACATTTGTGATTAAGAAACAAAAAAGGAATTAGTGAAGATCATACCTGTGAGCATGTATCTTTTTTTTTTTTTTTTCTTATGGCAGAAGAGTCTTTTAGTAAAGTATACCAAAGTTTTTTGTGCAGTAGAAACTATAACAGTTGTAGCTTGCACCACTAGTATTTACCTTGTTTTTGTTTGGCAGTACATTATGTAAAGCAAGCTAGAGGAAGTGGATACTTCCCTGCAGAAGTGGGAAAGTCATCATGTTTAATTACTTAAAAGTGTTAGAATTTAACCTGCAAGACTTTTTTTTTTTTAGTGAGAGGAGGAACATAAAAATAAAACTGTTAGTGGAAATTGGCAAATTTGTCTGTTTGTTTTTTTTTTTCCACTGTAATTGGTCTGATTCTTCAGTACTGTTGCTTAGAAGTTATTTTATTGATACTGACTACATAGGCAGGTATCAGTGAAGGCTTGAATTCTTTTTCCAGTGTATCCAAAGAAATCTGTAGTCTTGATTAAACTTTCATTTGAGCATTTTTCCATGTATATCATGCAGAGTACTTACTGCAAACACGAATGCAACTAGGAGGCCTTCCGGTCTTTCAATTCTAGAAATGTTTGTCGTGTTTAATACCCGTGCACAGAAATGGAAGCAGAACTTCCCAGTAACTTTAATTTCATGGAATGAGGTGAACAAAGTCAGTGTTCTGAGAATATTGCTAGCTTCTCAAGTACCCGATAGTCCCTTCTCAAAAGCCTTGAAGAAGCATTGTGTTTGACTAGAGAAAGGGGGCCTCATTTTGTTAAATGCAGGTAAAGTAATCTCTTACAGCATTATGTAACTTCTTTAATTGGAAGATGGGGACTTTGCCATGAAGATAATGAGACACATTGTGTCTAATGTGCAGTATTTTTTTTATTGTTGTTTTGCTCAGTGGGAGACTTTGATAAAATCTGGCGTGAACACTGTGAGGATGAGGAAACTCTCTGTGAATATGCTGTGGCAATGAAGAACCTTGCAGATAATCACTGGGCAAAAACTTGTGAAGGGGAAGGCCGAATAGAATGGTGTTGCAGGTAAGTCCTCATGTCTTTGAAAGATGTGGTTGCGTGTTTATATTTGTAATTCTTTACAATACAGGTTTTTTTATTTGATGATTTATAACATTTGTTCTATAAAATGTTAATGATGTATTGGTTCCCAAAACAAATACCTTCTTAATGTTCCAATTTATAAACTGTAAATCCATAATGAAGTTGTTTCTTCTAAAATTAGATTTTTTTTTTTTAAAGCAACTTCAGCAAACAACTTCCTTTTCTTCATGTGCTGAAGCTGCAAGTAAATTTAAGAAGTAATGTTATATGTGTTCATCTGAATCTAAACTGAATTAATGCAATGAGCGTAGCTGAACAGGGTATGGGTTTGACTTGTGCATGTAAGTACGTGGATTTTAAACTTCTTGCATGCCCTAATAGTAAAATCCTGGATTGAGTTCAACTAAACTATTTCAATCCTTGAGGAAACTGAGGTCTAAAATAGGATAAGTGTTAGTCACTCAGGATTCCTACATATGGTTGGCATCTGAGGCATACTGTGAAACCTGTACAGTGGAATAAAACAAAATACTGTTGAAATCTTATATGAAAAAGACTTTATGCACAATCCTGCCTCCAGGAATGTCTTTAGACAGAGGAAGATGATGGTGTAAGTCTGAGAGTAAGGTCTTTGCATATCCAGATGTTTAGAAAAACTTCATTTTTTCCATCATGATATGAAAGTTATTCCAATCAATCCAACTTTGAGGAAGTATATCAACTACATGTAATAAAGTCTTTGTAGGTATCAGTTTGTTTATAAAATGCTGCAGCAGTGGAGGTTTCCAGCTTCCTTGGGATCTTTAAAAATCAGTGTAGATTAAAACTGAATAGATTAAATATTAACAGATTACCATTCTCTTCTAGTCTTGGAATAGTCATCCTCTATGTGACTGATACAAAGTAATGAACAGAAGAAAGAGAAGAAAAGCAAGGATGACATTGCTACATTTCACTTTATTGCAGAGATCTTTGGATCCCATAAAACAAGCAATTGAGTGAGGGACGAAGGGGCATGGATTGTGAAACAGTTAATATAGAGTACATCAACCTGGTGACAACTCAAGGTGTTCTGTACTTGATGGAAGTGGAGCAAGTCAGTAGCAACCTTATTTTCTTTCTCTCTACAGCAGGCTCTTATTTAATATTTGAAACCCATTCCTTTTGTATCAATAGTTCATAGAACAATAGAATAATTAAAATTGGAGAAGGCCTCCAAGATCATGTAGTCCAAATGTCTACCTACCACCAATATTGCCCACTAAACCATGGCCCTAAGTATTACATCTGCCCTTTCCTTAACCACCTCGGGGGATGGTGACTCCACTACCTCCCTGGGCAACCTGTTCCAGCACATAACCACTCTTTCTGAGAAGAAAGTCTTTTCAGTATTCAACCTGAACCTCCCCTAGCGCAACCTGAGGCCATTCACTCTAGTTCCTTCACTTGTTATGCGAGAGGAGAGACAACCCCTACCTCACCACAACCTACTTTCAGGCAGCTATAGAGGGCAGTAAGGTTTCCCCTGAGTCTCCTCTTCTTCAGACTCAACAGTCCCAGTTCCCTCAGCTACTCCCTATACAAGTTGTGCTCCAGAGTCTTCACAAGCTTTGTTGCCTTTCTCTGGACATGCTACAAAGCATTGATGTCTTTCTTGTAGTGAAGGGCATAAAATTGTTCTCATGTTCTGGTTATCTGTGCACATACTAATGGTACTGGATTCTGGACTGATTCCCAGGGAACACTGCTTGATTTTTATTTTTTTTTAAAGCAATTTCAGTTAACTAGTATTCCCTTAGCTTGTGGCAAGCTCAATTCATTCCCTGCAGGACAGGATAATGTTGCATGTTGACACCAGAGGAACGGCTGATATCCTGTGTACTGAGGTTTATTGGCTCTCTCGTTTGTTTGTTGGGTGGTTTTTTTGGGGGGGTGGTTTTATGGTTCCTAGAAGATTTACAGAGTGAACACAAATATCCAGCTTGGGCCTGGGAGCCCGACCTCATGCTAAGAATAGAATCCACTGATAGGAGACACTAAGATGCGCATGGTGTAAAGCTTCAATTCAAGCACGGATCTTTTCTGCATGCAACATTCAGGGGTCAGGAGATTCACATCAGTTTTAAAAAAAAAAAAAAAAAAAAAAAAAAAAGTTTCTTCTTTCTTTTGTGGAAACTGAGGCCTGAATGGCTAAATACCAAAACATGGCAGATCAACTTTGTCTTCTGTTTTTGTTTTTTTGTTGTTGTTCCTTGTCAACAGCCAGGAGGTGTGCCATGCAGATGGCAGGCCCCATTGTCCTTACTCCTCCTTGTGTCTAGTTGCTTAATTGCATGCAAGAGAACTTTACTTATGTGAAACTTCATTGAAAGCTTTTGTTGAGTGCTTTAACTGAGTGTCACCATGGCAGCAGGAAGGTAGCTGATCGGTTGAATGAAGTTTCATTTCAGAGTGGAATGCTGAAAATACTTGGGAACCACTTGTGTATCTGTGTTGAAGAAAGGATAGCTCAGGCTTTTGTTTTCCTTTTAAGGAAGATCTTTTAAGATGTGATACTAGCTAGGAAAAAAAAGATTTTTTTGGTCTTTCATTATTTTTTCTTGTATTCTTGTGTAACCAAGCACCAGTAAAGTAAATCAGAGAATATAGAATGCATTATTTTCAGGGTCAAGATTATGTTTTCTGCAGGGTTCTCCTCGTGAAAAGGTGTATCTTGCTATTTAGTTGAACATACTGGGAGAACACATCTTGTGATGCTAATTCTTAAAACAGATGGAAAAAAAACCTTCTCTTTTACTTCATTAATTTTTTATTTAGATGACACACATGCAGATTCTAGAAAACATTAAAGCTAAAGCTGTAAATGGCAGACTGTGCTGTTGACCGTATGCCACATTGTACAGGAGTGGTTTGACTGTTTCAGGGCAATAGGATACAATCTTTAGCATGGGAAGAGAGAACTTGAAGCCTTGTCCCCTTCCAGATGCAGTTTAGGTAAACCTCATGTGGTGTTGTGGAAAACATGGACCACAGTCAGCTGTCTTTCCTTTTTTTTGTCTGTATTTTCAGTAAATTGAATGCAGTGTAGCAGGTGATGTTTGCAAATGTACACCTGTTTCATGTAATTTCTGTTTCAACACAGAGCTTAAACCAAAGTGGGATGGATAAGATAGTTTACCCTAGCTGTCCTAATGTGTAATTTTTGCTGGCATAGGTAGCCTGGTGAACCTTTGTATGGACAATGAATGCTGGCCTTTTCTGGCTCTAGTTAAAACAAAATAAGCTAAACCAGCTGATTTGCTTCTTTCTGTTGCTTTTGCATCAGTTACAACTTGTGTTGACTTGGCGGTTCTTTTTTTTTAAATAATGAAAAAACAGAATCAGCTTGAAATAGCCATTGTGACAAAACATTATCTGAACTTGCATTTTTTAAAAAAGTCTTTTGAGAGTTTTCAGTATGCTGAAGAAATGTGGTCTTGGTCAGTTTACTGTTAGGGGAGTGTAGAACTGTTTGGAAAAAAATGCAGAGAATGGATATTAGAAGCTTATCTTAAGTATTTGTTTTACTGAGAAAGGGCTCTGTAAGCCTGTCCCTGAATCTGTTACTAATCAATATTTTTGTTAGTAATCTGCTAGAATACAGTCTGTTTATTAAATTTGCAAATGAGACCAAGCAAGGAAGAATTTACACTCTCAGGGCTGGACTGAAATTAACAATGATACTAACTGTGCCAAATACTATCAGCTATAGAGACACGAGCTAGGAAATAATTGGTTATTTATCAGTCCTTTAGAAAAGTGTTTGTAAGACGCCTACAAACAGGAGGGTTGTCAACTCTTTACAGGGGTAGATAATGGCAGGAGAAGGGGAAATGGTTTTAAGGTTGAGGGAGGGAAGATTTAGGGTAGATAACTGCAGGACAAGAGGAGATGGTTTGAAGTAGATGGAGGGAAGATTTAGGTTGGATGTCAGGGGGAAGTTCTTTACAGAGAGAGTGGTGAGGTGCTGGAACAGGCTGCCCAGAGAGGTTGTGGATGCCCCGTCCCTGGAGGTGTTCAAGGCCAAATTGGATGGGGCCCTGGGCACCTGGTCTAGTATTAAATGGGGAGGTTGGTGGCCCTGCATGTGGCAGGGGGCATTGGAGCCTGATGGTCTTTGAGGTCCCTTCCAACCCAGGCCGTTCTATGATTCTGTAGCAAAGTACAAGCTGAATATGAAACAATCACAGGATACTTTCTTCAAAAAAGAGAAACATCTTGGAGTATGTTAATGAAGTTATTCACAAAATATCTGAAATACTTTATTTAGCTTTTCTCTTAATTAAAGTATCACTTTGCTCCCTGCATTTAAAAAACAACTCCAAAAAAGGTAAAGAAAAGTTCCGGGGTCTCATTTATTTTCCACAAAAGCCTGTTTTTTTTTTAGAATCTGGAGCTGTCTGGTCAAATGGAGTAAAATCTAGGAGATCCTTTTACAGGATCTTTGAGGATAAGTGTTCACAGTCTGTTTAGGATTGGAGGACAGAATAAATGAATGCTTAAAGTCCCTACAGTGCTGTTTTGGTGCTTTCTTTATGAATGCAGTTAGCTGAGAAACTCACCTTCAATGGAATTAGAAAGGAGGTGGGTTAAGGAAAAGGAGGGAAACTATTTAATAGAAAAAGGATCTAATGTTCATTGTGCATGTTTGTATGGCAACCTTTATTTTTCCTTCTAAATAATACTTTGTTCTGACAAAACTGTGTCTGTTCATTGAATGTTAGAACTAATTAGAGCTTTGATTATATGATGACTGCTGACTGTTTTCAAGTTCTTGGAATCATCTGGTAATGAAGGGTGTTGACTCTAAGCTGGTTTGTGGTGGGAGGATTGGTACAACGTAGGAGAAACATCTGGTTCCAGACCTAGTGGTGTTTTCCAAAAGGATAAGTCTCAAATGTCTAGAATTAAAACAAAGCATGAAAAATAAATGTGAATTAATCGTATGCAAGCTTCTTGCACTGAACTTTAAGAGCTTATAATACTTTGTACTGTAATATTTGCTGAATGTATAATTTCCTTAACCTAAATCTGGACACTCTTGATAATAGCAGAGTGCTTTCCAGTCCTCCCTCATGATTAATGCCTCCAAGGGGAAGTTGAAAACTTTAATTTCCTTGATTTACTTCAGAATAGAGTGGGGGAGATTAAAACCTGTAGAGGAGTTTATGCTGGGTTTTTCTTTTTTTTTTTTCCAGGTCAGCAGTTGCTTTAGTTGACTTTAGGAAACTAGAATTTCCTTCAGCTCTGAAGGGAGGTGTGTTGTTTCACTGTATCCTTACTCAATTTCATCTTCAATATTAGATTCTGGTTAATAAGTACAGTGAGGAATGTTAATCAGGCTTGTGCTTTCCTTCTTCCTTCTGCTTTTTAAAGAGAAGGACTGTGTCAGTTCTTGACCTGCAGAACTGTCTACTTGAAACTCTTGATCATTCATAAAAGCTATCAGAGATTGTTTTTTTTGTCAAGATGAAAGGTGACCAGCATTAATTTAGTTGCTGGTTATTACTTGGCAAGAAGAACTAACTGCTGATTCTTTGAAGTCATTGATATGTAATATGATGTTTCTTTGGCAATTGAGAATTTGAAACACCTCCCCCTGTTATTTTCTGTGTGGTATTGAAACACTCATGGTTTTGGGTAGTGTATTCTACAGGGAAGTTTCTTAACTTAAGTCTACTATCAAACCATTTATCTTCTGACTATCTGTTCATACTGGCTTTTACTGAGGGTTTCTTTAAGTGTCCAGACTAAATGGCAGAGGAGTTTGGGTGTGGGCAGACTATTCATCTCTAAAAAACTGTCATTTAAGATATGAAGAATGGAAAAAAAGTTCAACTGAGGAAGTACCTAGAATTCTTTTTGTAAGACATGAGCGGCAAACTTCACCTGTCTCTGCCAGCAAACTTAAGCAGTTTATAACTTAAATGTTTAGTTTTGTTGTCTGTGTAAACTGTTAGCAAGTGTAAGCTCAGGTACCATTTGAATTGCACAATTCTTCATGAACAAGTCTGTTGATTGCAGAGCTATCTGATGTCAGATTAAATGTCAGAGACGTTTGCCACAAATTTCATGGTGACAGCTCTCAAAATTATAAAATAAACTAATTAATTTTATTTCCCTTTGTAGATAATAAGGGGATGCTCTGTTCATTACTTGAGACCATTGTTAAATACAGTCTTTGATAACTGCGTACTCAAAACTACTGTGATTGCTGATGGAGTTTTAATAAACATAAGCACGTAGCTACATCAGCAATTTACCGTGGGGGTAAACTGTTGAGTGTGTTGCCTTTTATTAGGTACTGAGCAGTAAATGCCCATCTGATCACTGCTACCCCATCACACTTGTGAGTCTGATTTAAATGGATGGTGTGTTATCTTGAGGTGAAATCCCTCAGTGGTTTCTCACCTGTTTGGGTTTTTGTTTGCTTGTTGGATTTGGTATTTTTTTGCTTCTTTGAGTTACTACATAAGTATGCAGTCTGAACTTGAGGAATTTTACCCAGTCTTTAGTAAATCTTGTGATTCTGGCCTCTTTGTCTGCCAGTGAAAATCCAGGAGAAGATACTTCTCATCACAGTTGTCTTTAATAGTGTCTTATGGTTCAGAACTTAATTGACATGAGAGGGAGGAGTAAAATAGTTGGGAAAAATACTCAACTACAGCAGTATCAACAGTGAGGCAGAAATGGCTTCTGTGCAGTGACAGAAGGAGTCATTAGGCTGCATTTTGAAAGTAGTTGGTTCTCATATACAAGTGCTTATCTGTGTGTTAAGCTGGGCAATGTAACAGCTTCTAGCAAGTGGAAAAAGAATCAGTAGTTGAGGAGCAAAAAGAATACATTTCCTCCCAAAGTACTGGGCTTCTTGATTTGTTCTGACTTACCTGTCAGTGTCGATAGCTGTATGATGTTATTTAACCAGAATGTTTCAAAAGGGATAACAAGAAAGAAGACTTCTAAGTAAAACTGCAGACACTGAGCAAGATGCTAAGAAAGTAGTAAGGTAGCTGTAACAGTGTGAGGAAGATGGGTTTGTGTTTTCTTTCACTAAGTGACGCTCAACTAAATTATGAAAGACATCTCTAAACTCATTGTATGCTTATGGACAAATAATTTTATATAGCATAAAATATGACTTTTATTATCATAACAGTAATGCAAGTGTTTCTCTGGGGTTCTATTTTGTTTTTATTTTTTGTTGGCTTTTTTTTTTTCCAACTTTTTTTGCTTAGTTAAATTACAGACTTTAACTTTGTTAATTTTAGAATCGTTGTCTTTTTGTATGTGGAATTTCTAACAGACTTGGTATGGTTTCACAGTTTGTGTATTTGGGAATATTGTAGCCTGGGCTGCTGTTACTGCTTCTGTGTGATCTTGCTCAATACTGCTAAGACATGGATCTTATTTTTTTTTTTTTCCATCTAGCTTCTCTTTCATCTGAAAATAGCTTTGGTTACTGAAGAATTGTAACTATAAACTTGTTGATTATGAATGTATTTTTTACTGTGTTTGTTTCTCATAGGGCTGTGTTTTCTACCCTAAGGTTACTGTGTGTATCTTAAGCTTTACTTACTAAGTGAGAGTACATAGGGCCTTCTCAGATAAGTAAAACTTGCTTGTGCTTTGATTTTGTTAGACACAGGTCAGTTTTGATATTGAGGCCATGCAAGTATGGCAGTACAGGAGTTTGTCCAACAGAGCGTGATTTACCTGACGCTTTTGTACTTTTTGTGTACTTTTGTACTTATACTTTGTGTACCTTTGTACTTTTGTAATTATACATTTACAGATTCAAAGTGGTCGTTTCCTGGCTGTTTGGAGTAAAGTGGTTTCTATCTGTACCTGTTTGATACATATTTCTCCTTATAAAACTTAGCAATAATGACACTTTCTTTTGTTTTTCCTTCACATCATGTGTGATGGAGAGGGAGGAGTAAAATAGTTGGGAAAAATACTCAACTACAGCAGTATCAACAGTGAGGCAGAAATGGCCAAACTTTCTTTTGTTTTTCCTTCACATCATGTGTGATGGAGAGGCTAGGTGTATTTGGTGCCTATAATATCATCTATACTTAGATCAGGCCTGTGTATTTCAAGACCTCATCTCTATTTGTGAATTTAAGGCAGTATTTTTATCAACATAACCCTTCCAAATCTGGAATGTGAAATAAAACAATATAGGATGCTATTAAGCTCAGCTTGAATTTGTGTCCTGGAATGTTACCTTCAAACCTCTGCAGCTTTTTTTTTTTTTTTTTTAAACAGAAATTGAATGTGTTTCAAGAAAGTATCATAAAAACGTTTTGTGAAAATATAATTTGAACAAATGCTGTTTTTGTTAAACTTCTCATGCAGATGCTTGGCTGGCACATCTAATTAAAATGCTTTTTTTTACAGGGTGAGTCAGGCTTTTAATTTCACAGCAGCAAATTGTTTCCAATTCTAGTTCTGTCCAAAACAGTCCAGTTATTCTCCGAAACATAATGCTTGTGTCTCATACGTAATGCTGACTACTGGTTGAACTATGCAAGTGCAATTCAACTTTTTTTTTACATTCGTTCTTTTAAACTGCTTAACCTTTCTGATAAATGTGACTGATAATTTTATTCTGGTTCCTATTAGCGGAATACTTAAGTGAAATAAAAAATGAAAGCTAAAATAAGTCTTCTGTAATAATATAGCTACTGAACATACGTTATTAAAGAAACAAACTCATAATTAGAACCAAGTATAATTAACTTAGCCCATAAGCTTGAGTTATTTGTTTTCCCCCCGCATTTCTTAAGTACCCTATACAACAAGGATGTTTCAAAAGCCCCTGTATTTGTAATTAGTAACTATCAGTGCATGTATGCAAGCATGCCTTGATGGATAAGTGTAGTGCTTAAGTGTCAGCTGACATTTACCCTTGGTTAATGTTCTGTTCTTGCTCTGAAAGTCTATACAGATAAAGCTAATTTGAATCTGTTTACATAACTCTGTCTTACAGCCTAATTTTAGGGGAAAAAAAACCACTACTTGTCTTGAAGTGTGTCTTTTGGGTATCACATCTGTCCTAAAGCTGATTTTCCAAAGATGCAGTAGAACTCAGATTTATTGAAAAGCTTTTAGAACTTGTATCTCTTATTCCTCTGTCTTGTGTCCTGTCTTAGTATAGTGACCGAAAATACCATTCCACTTCTCTGGGAAATCTTTGTCTTTTCAGTGTGTGTCGGGAATATTTTCAGAATGGAGGGAAAAGAAAAGCACTTGAGAAAGATGAGAAGAGAGCACTTCTTGCTTCTAAGACCACTCCAGCCTTAAATGTTTCCCAGCCTCCCAAGATTGAAGACCCCTTACCAAACTTTGGCTTGACAAATCATGAAGCTATAACAGAAGAGTAAGTTATACTTGTTTTCCAGACTTTTCTTTTTTCTTGTTGAGACTTGCTTGGAAATTTTTTCATTATAATGTTAGATTGGTCTGATGCTGCCTTTTTTTTTCTTTTTTTTTAATAGTAAAGAGGTTGGATTTCCTTGTGAATATGTCCACATTTCAAGAATAATTGAACTATAGTATAAATTTGGGTGGATGCTGTAAAGATTGCTCGAGAATGACAACTTAGTCATCATCATATAACTGTTAGAGTAATTTCACTTTTGTATGTCATTACTGTGCAGTGCAATTTATATTAAAGCTTGAGGTGAAATAAAGCAGATGTTAATTAAGTTAGAATCTAATGACTGTTCAGTATTGTTGAAAAGTCAATTGCTTTTGTAAGTACTAAGTGCCAAATGTAAATAACAGAGTACTTAAAACTTTCTGTTCATAAATTATTGAGGAGAAACTCTTGATTCCAATTATACACTTCAAAAGCAATTTTGAATTTAACACTTAATTTTAAATATGGTAGCTTTCTGATGACTGTCTCTGCAGAAGTTGAATATTCTTGAGGTACTTCTCTAATAGGTTTTAATTTTGTTTTTTGATTTTTTTCACTCGAGTAAGAATTCCATTTTTGGGATTCATTAGTAGCTTTTTTTTTTTTTTTTTTTTTTTTTTTCCAGTTACAGTCTCACCCTATTTTTTCTTGAATTATATGGGTCATGTTTTGGCAAACATGACTTGCAAAAGGCATGAAGATCTCAAATGCTTAAATGTTTGAATAGTTAAAATGCTGACCCCAATGTTGTTCTGTGTTCTGAGCAACCAAGAAGATATTGCCACAGAATCACACAAGCAGCAAGAACACCTTGCTGAACACCTCCAGGGTCAGCAACTCCACCACCTCCCTGGGCAGCCCTTTCCAGTGCCTGACCATTCTTTCAGAAAAGTAGTATTTAGATTAAATGAAAAATGAAGGTAGTGGCTTCCCATAAGCAGCTCTTTCTCCTCTTGGTAGTGTTCACTTTGCTAACTCAGCCTAAACATGAATATATGTTTTTAATAAGAACCACCAAGCTCTTTGATACAAAGGGTTGATGAGATGTTAATTCCTCATGCCATCTCAAAAACTCTAGCATTTGGTAACGCAAGATGCTTCTGTTACTACAAGTGGCAGATTGGTACTGACTTGTTTAAATCGATAGGTTTGATCATACACTACTTCAAGTTGACCTTGTACTGTGAGATCTTATCATGATGAAGCACAAGCTTTCTCTCTGCTTATGCTTTATATTCATACTTTGAAGGGCCAACTTCACAAGCTTCATCTTGCTACCAGAAATCTGTAGTCTTATCTTTTGATTTGTGTGTACAGAAAGTATTTAATACAGAACTTTTTATTTCATAACTTAAAAAGTATTTATCAATACCATGACCTATTTTCCATTGTCCTTCTCAAGACCTGGAGTAGGCAACACATGATAGTTAAGGTAGTACTAGATTTTAGTAGTTATACAGACCTTATAGCAACAATGTAATGTATTTCAGCAAGCTAGTCCTTCCTATGGGGTACCTTTATGAGTGGATGGTACTGAAAACTTTGAGACATGCCTGTGTTGCCAGTCAGAGCCAGTTGTACAGCTTTGTTCTGCTCTTTTGGCAATAGCATAGGACCTCTGAATTTCCATTCTCCTCCCATCCTTGGATAAACTGTAGCTTAATAATCAAAAACTGCAAACTAGGAGTCTGACCCTTGAAGTATTAATGTTTTCTTTTTCTGCCTGTATATAATGCATTAGAGAACCATGCGTTCAGAAAATCATGGGGGTTGGAGGGGATCACTGGAGATCTATTCCAACTCTCTGCTAAAGCAGGATCCCTAGTGTAGGTCACACAGGAAAGTGTCTGAGTGGGTTTTGAGTATCTCCAAAGAAGGACCAAAACCTCTCTAGTTCAAGGTGTGCTTGGAGATTACCTACAGTGCAGTGTACTTCCCTTGCTATTAATGTTAGCTGCCTTGACTGAAAGTCGTTAGGAAATGAGTTTGAAGGGTGATTATCAATGAATTTAGCAAGACTGTCTTTGTAACACAGTAATTGGATCAGTGACTGTCACCTAGATGACAGTTATGTTCTTACTGAGGAATCTGACTTGAGAGCCATGCTGAAAGAAGCAGATGTCTGAGCTGCTGAAGAACTTCACAATTATTGAAAGCACCTAACTAGGATCCTGTTCTCATTTATAACTGGCAGCTTAAGAACTGCTAATAAGCAATTTTGAGGGACAGTGAAACCTGACAAGCAGCAAGAAAGTCAAAACATAAGTGAGTATGTGAATCTGCTGCTTTTTTAGATCCCAAAGTATATTTGCATTGATCTTAGAGTCTGGTAGCCTTATCAGAGTAAAAGAGAGCTTATTAGAGTGAAAGAAACGTGTTTTCCTGGTCATATCTCTTGGATCCATTGTCTATTGGTGTAGAAGAGAGTTTCTGGCTTCTGCTCAGCGTGCAGTCCAGAGGTGTATCTTTGCAAAGTGTGCCTTAATGCTGTCAGACATAGTTTGGGGTGTGCACCCTCCTCACTGAGTCAGAAGCAACACTTGTAAGTTTTATAAGAAAAGGAAACTGAAAAATCAGTGTGGCTTTCTTTCACTCTAATGTAGGTGTAGTGGCATTCTCCCCACTTCCAGAATTCTTTGTTATGTTACTTAATTTTAATCTGCTCAGATATTTAATGTCACCCTTTAGATGGAAAATTTTAAGATTGCTAGAGGCTGTTGCTCTTTTATTTTTCTTAATGGGAAATCTTTCTGTGCTAGACTACAGTCAGAGTCTCTCTTTTGTTTACTGTGGTTCCACGTGTCTCCAATTTTTTTGCTGTTACCGTTAGAATGCACGTGTGCATACTGACGTGTTTGAATGAGAAAGTGTGCCATTAGTGTCTGCATCTGCAAAACAAGGACCACTGTTCTGAGAAGCTATATACTTTATACTTACACAGAGAAAGACACTACTTGACTTCAGCCTGTTCCTAATTTATTGCCACAAGGATCCAAAAGGTCCCCTGCATGACTCAATGTGATGCACAGATTACATAATGACTAGCATCCAAGTAGTGGGGGGGAAAAAAAAAGTTGCTATCGTCTTCATTCCGAAGTCTTTCTCAGTACTGACTGTCTTACAGGGTAATGCGTGCAATTTTAACTCACTTAGAGGCACAGCCCTTTGCCTTGGTTGGTGCAGATAGTTTTGAAAGAAGTGATCTCTAGTTATCTTCTATATATAAACAAAATCTGTTCTGCTGAAGACTCCAAGGGTTCTTCTGTTTCTTCGGCATCTTCTCTGCAGTGGATCATTGAGAGTTAAGGAGGGGTTTTAGGGAGAACACAATAAATTTGGAGTGAACCTCAAGTAGGCATCCATTCTCAAAAATATTAGCTAAAATAAAAGAATACTTCAAGATATTTTGCAAGGAATATCTGAATGTTTTCATTTTTAGGGATTTTTTATTTACCTTGGAATACAGTTGTGTGTCCTCTGTCTTTGTTGAACTGATTAAGGCATTTGACTTCAGATGCCCTTTAAAATGGTAGGTAGGTCGTGAAGTGTTGTCAGTTTCTCTTTTGTACTCCTGAAATTTCAACTGTAATGACTTGTATGATTTAAGCACCAATAAGTACCACAAAGAGTAGGGAAACAAAACGATCAGCTTGAGTATTAGACACAAGTTACCATTTTATTGAAATACTGTAAGTACACAAGGCATGGTACTAAAGGTGCTCTTAACAGAAACTCTTCAACTTAAGGATCATGTGCTTTACTGACCAAACTTGATTCTTTAGATATCCCAGCAATTCAAGTAATGCATTCACTTCTGTAAATCACTACAAAGATAATGCAAAAAAAATCTTGTAGTTATCTGAAATTGTAATACTGAATACAGTTTCAAAAATAACATTTGATAAAACTGAGTTCTTGCTACTTCTTAGGTTGCTTCACTCCTTGGGAAAAATCAGATTGCTTGATGTTGGTAGCTGCTTTAATCCATTTCTGAAGTTTGAAGAATTTCTGACAGTTGGCATAGATATTGTTCCAGCTGTTGAGGTATGTAACACTTGCTATATTTGATATAAAGGTGATTGCCAGTGGCTCCAAAATAATAGCTGTAATTGTTTGGTTCTAAAAATAAGGAAAAAAACATCCTCACTGTGAATCTTAATATTGCAAAAAAACTTCAGTATCTGTCTTGTTATGAAGTCTCAGATGAGTTCTTGAATCTTGAAAGCCATGAAAAAAATTTGAGTTGGTTTACGCTTAGGCATGGAGCTCCTGTAAGCTATGTTTTCTGACAAAGAAATAATCTCTGCCTATACTTGGCAAGTTTTTTTGTTCTAGTAACTAGATGTGCATTCTGAAGGGGATTTTGGGATTATTGCTGCAAATGCTAAACCTCAGTGCTGAGGACAAGATTAACGCTTAGGGCTGGTTCTATGGTAAATAATATATTTCTGATAAATTGTTTCACTATGTAGTAAGATTCCAAAATGCATTTTTTCTGCAATCGCGTCCCCTTTCTTGATCTCCTTCTGTCTTGATCTGACTTCTGTCAGTTGCAGTAGTATTTACTAACCAAGTGAAATGACAAAGCATAATAGAGTGAAAAGGTATGTAAAGGAATGCATTTCTGTCAGACAACATAAATCCTGTGACCTTACATATCTTACCAGCTTCTAGGCTGAATTTTTCTGGAAGTTCAAAATGCAAATCAGCAGCCTTAGGTAGTAGCTCTTTAGATGTGGAGACTTACAAGTGTTGTTTTTTTTTTTTTTTGTTAACTTGGAAGTTGTGCTACTTGCTGCAGTGTGGCTTACTTGCAAAGTGCTTGGCATTTTGTTCTGATCACCAGATTTAGTCCACTAATGCATAATTCATCTCCACACTTGTAAACAAAATTATAATGGAAGGTATTCCTGGAAAAAAAAAACATGTGAACTCAAGCACACCTGCTGTAGTAAGCTGTGGCCCACCTCCAAACTAGAATTAATCCTGATCCGTTCAAGATGACTGCTTTAAACCGTATCACTACCACAGTCACCTGAAAAAAATTGATCTCTTCTCCAGCAGTTGCTTCCGCTCATTTAAGATTTCAAAATATCAGCCAGAGGGTTCTTACAGGAGTCCGTGTTGTTTTCTGACCTTAATAAATGAATAAATAAGTGGAGTAACAGAGCATTGAAGTCAAAGATAAAAGAACCTTTAAAATCTTTTGATTTATCTGATATTTTAGATACCAAAATATTTTTTGAAACAAATGGAACCAGAGGCTTTTCAGGAGATCAGTTTGTTAAATAATGTTGAATAGAGGGTTAAATACTTCCTTAATAAAAATAGGTTAATCCGTTTTCTTAATGTAAATTCTTCAGAGATAGATGTAGTAGTTGAGTACAATACTTCAGCTTATTTTAGGAGTATTGAAAATAATTGAAGAAAAACTAGGAGAGGAACTGAAGTGTTGTTTAATGAAAGAATGTGTTCCAACTGTTTGGAATCTGCATGTTTTATATACAGAAACTGTGGTGTGGAACTGTGATATGAATCATAGAATTACCAAGGTTGGAAAAGACCTAAAAGATCATCCAGTCCAACCGTTCACCTATTCCCAATAGCTCCTACTAAACCATGTCCTTCAACACAACATCCAGCCTTTCCTTGAACACCCCCAGGCTCGGTGACTCCTCCACCTCCCTGGGCAGTCCATTCCAGTGCCTGACCACCCTTTCTGAAAAGTAATACTTCCTCATGTCCAGCCTGAATCTCCCCTGCCGTAGCTTGAAACCATTCCCCCTGGTCCTATCACTGATGACACGAGAGAAGAGGCCAACCCCCAGCTCACTACAGCCTCCCTTCAGGAAGTTATGGAGAGCAATGAGGTCTCCCCTGAGCCTCCTCTTCTCCAGGCTGAACATTCCCAGCTCCTTCAGCCTCTCCTCATATGGCCTGTGCTCCAGACCCCTCACCAGCTTTGTTGCCCTCCTTTGAACACGGTCCAGGGCCTCGATGTCTTTCTTGCAGTGAGGGGCCCAAAACTGGACACAGTAATGTGAAATTACTGTGATTAATTTCCACAGAATGTGGAAATACGTTTCTATTAAAAGTTCAGGTTTGGTCATTTGGGGGCAGGTTGGGTGGAGCTGCACTGAAAGAGAAGTAAAACAGATTTCCTATGTGTTTTCATTGGCCACTCTTTCAAACACTGTATCTCTGGCAGATGTTCCAGAGAATAATTAGCTGCTGTTATTTTCTTACAGGAGTTTGGTTTGCTTGGCACAGGAAGGGAGAACAGCAAAATTGAAATGAACAGCGAATCTCAATTTTGTGAAAGTCCCAACAGAATTTCTTACTGCTGGAAAACAAGCTGACTATGCAGCAGATGTTGTATAGGAGTAAATGCAGTTTTAGGGGAAAAAGAAGTCTGGAATGGTACCAAACTTAAGAAAAAGATGAGCAGCATTTAGTTCTTAAATGTCTGTTTGTGCTCTGAAATATGAGTTCACTGTTCAGATCAGCTCAAGAGTTGCACATCTAGACTTTAACAGCAAACCCCAGGTTAGCACCTAGCAGCATTTTTTTTCCTAACACTGCCTTGCAGAGTTTAGGATTCTACTTGCAGTGTACTTTAGTCATGAAATCACCTTCAACGTTATTTCTACTTAATTGTTCTGTGAATATCTTTCCACTACAGAGAAATATTTTGTCTCATTTTTTCAGTGATGTAAGTAACCTAAGTCCACAGCACTTTTATTCTGAAATTCTTACCTAGATATCCCGACGTTACTACTGTTAATTTCCTGTTTGAAATGTTAAAAGGAAGAATATTAAAATGTAAGCCTGCAGGTGTAGTAGTTGTAATTGAAATTCCTTGATCAAACAGAAATAATGACAATCTTTTTTTTTTTTTTTTTTTTTTAATATTAGAACTACTGAATCACAATATTTTTTTTTTGCATGTTGCTTTATTCTTTCTCACTTTTATTGCACACTGTCTGAAGAAAATGTGGTTTTGTATACACAGGAATAACGTTATTTTCTATTTGGAAGGAAATGTACTTTTCAGTTGTTTTGTAAATATGTTTGCATTGTTGTGTTTTGTTTTTTTTTTTTAATATTACTTAAAACATGCTATCAATAGTTTGAGGGGATATGAAAACACATAGGTCTGCCTCCACCTTTCATGTTCTCTGCAGAATTTTCTGTCTCATCTTTTTCACTGCATGCACTCTAGGCACTGATACCAACTTCTGTTCCTATCTTGTTGCAGCCTTTTATCTTAGCTTTTTTGGAAAGAAGTCATTTCTAGATTTTGATGAATGCGGAATGTCTAAACTTAAGCACAGTAAATAGCTTGATATTACTTTTGGGTGCTGTGTGATTGAAAATGTTACAAATGTACTCTTTTGTTGCTTTCATCTGACAGCTTGACCTCATAAACAATTAAAAGATGATTTTTAAGCTTTTCTCTGGCTAAACTCTGCATCTGCAGCAGTTAAAACATGTACATTCATCTCTATTACAAAGTGTGTAGTGTAAGTGTACTTCAGCTTTCTGATATAGGGCGCCTTGTCACAGCTTCTTTTTGTTTTTGTGCAAGTAAGGCAGGTCAGTTTTTTCCAAGTGACACCAAACTATTAAACTTTTTGGATACCTCAAACATTTGTTGGAAATACCGAGGTATCAAATTTAATTTCATTATATTGATTTCCAGTTTATTTAAAAAATAATTTAAAAACAAACAAAAAATCTGGATTTGAATTGTTAAATTCACATCATTTTCACTCTTGCCAACTTCAAAAAGCATGAGATTTTGACAGTTAATAGGGGTATTCTATGCTTCCAGCATCTGGAGAAACAAAAGTAATGTACACCTACACAGTTCTTTTTTTTAAAATCAGTTGAGATAGAAAGCCGTAGTGGAATGTATCAAATCAGCAATCTCCATTTTTTTTCTGTTGTTCTTTTTAATAAATGCTTAATAAACAGATCTCAGCTATCAAACCTCCACTGTGTTGCTGCACATTTCAAATTGTTGTTGACAACTGTGAAAGCCAGTAATATCCGTGATTTTCAAATTGCCATTTTACTGTGTTTGACTTAATAGCGTGAGGGATGTTCAGGGGACTTGAAAATTCCCTGAGGGAACAAAGAGAATATTACTGTTCATTCTCTGATTGTGAATTGTGCTTTTGCTCTTTAAACTAACCTTGATGTTTGTTTGGATTTTTCTGTTCCACCAGAGCGTATACAAATGCGACTTCTTAAATCTTCAAATTCAGCAACCTCTTCAGCTGGCACAAGATGCTATAGATGCCTTTCTTAAGCAACTGAAAAATCCCATTGATTCTTTACCTGGAGAACTATTCCACGTTGTTGTTTTTTCACTCCTCCTCTCTTATTTTCCATCACCCTATCAGCGGTGGATATGCTGCAAGAAGGCACACGAACTTCTCGTATTAAATGGCTTATTGCTTGTAATAACTCCTGATTCATCTCATCAGAATCGTCGGGCTATGATGATGAAAAGCTGGAGAATTGCCATAGAATCCTTGGGTTTTAAACGCTTTAAGTATTCCAAGTTTTCTCATATGCACCTGATGGCTTTTAGGAAAACTTCCCTGCAAACAACAAGTGACTTAGTTAGCAGGAACTACCCTGGAATGTTGTATATCCCACAGGATTTCAACAGTATAGAGGATGAGGAGTATTCCAACACTTCCTGCTACATTCGATCAGACATGGAAGATGAACAGCTAGCTTACGGTTTTATGGAGCTACCTGATGCTCCTTATGACTCGGACTCTGGAGAAAGCCAGTCTAGTTCAATTCCTTTTTATGAGCTCGAAGATCCCGTATTGCTTCTAAGTTAATGTAGCAGTTGACGTGCTAAGTCAGACCTCTTGCTTAACTAATTTTGCTATACTAACATGGGCTCAACACACAACAGTGGTTTGCATAAAGAAAATGCAAAGGTTTACAGAGTTTGCTATTTTTTTCTACTTTGGAATTTTAAAATATATTCTTGTATAAGAGTGAAAAAAAGTTTTATGCAAGTGACTCTTGTCATAGCATAAATTGCTGTTACTTTCTTTAGAATATATATCACTAATTTTCTGCCAGAAAGGTACCATTCTTTTCTTTAGTGCTGTGAAGTGTGAATTCTATTTAATTTGCTAAATGTTGTTTCAATATTTTTAACTCTTAATGTGATTGAGCTTAAGGCACTGGAGTTGGTTGGCTTCTGAGAAGTAAATGTAGGAAGAACTAATTTGCACTTTAATTAAATGTGCAGATGGGTTAAGACACTTGGTTACACATGTCCCTACTTAATTACAGAACAAAACTTATTTCCAAAATTTGTTTCACTCTGGTTAAGCCTGGGCTGGAGAAACTGTAATGCACATTTGATTTTACTTTAATTGCTGCCCTCTTGAGATAACACCAAAACACTTGAATAGGTTAATCCAAAGTTACACACGCTGTGTAATTTCGATGTGTAAGTAGCAGGTAGACGTGAGATTCCTAAAGAGATTACCCTGCACAAACAGAGGAGTATGGTACGTCTAGATGATTGTTTCACCTCAAAGCTGGAACATGAGTTTGCAGTTATATATGTGTACAAGCACTAACACATAACAGTATTTCCCTGATAATAGTGTTTTGTATTCTTTTCAAACTGTTTTGGGGTTGTGTTCTTTGATGTTGGGTTGTTGTTTTTGTGGGTTTTTTTGGTGGATTTTTGGGGGGATGGGGGAGGGGCAGGATGGTTTTTTTTTTGTCATGTTTTAAAGTAAATTATTTATGTGTTTTAAAAACAACTTTAACTTGAGAAGCCTACAATTAAGGACAATTGTGGTAACTACAGACCAATTTTTGTTAAAAGGAACATAATTACACAAGTTTTTCAAGGCATACCTACATTTGCACAGTCGTATTCAGACCACAGAAGTGAAGTTAACATACACTGTTCTGTTTGCTTATTTGGACCTTAATCTTCTGTTTAGTCAAATAAAAACTCTGTAGCTATCTGAAAACTGATCTGCACTGTAAGAAGGTGGAACAAGCATTTTATGTTTATGAAGTTTTTTAACTTGTATAATAAATTTGTAAGTATTTTGCAGTAAAAAAGAAATTCTTTTCAGCATTAATAATAGAGGAACCAGTATTAGTTTAGCTTAGATTGCCCTAATGACCAGAATTTATGAATTTCAATGTCAGGCTTTTAAATGGGTATGTAAGTGCCTATGACAAATGATTTGAAGTAGGTGCCGCATCATGGATTTAATACTGACTGCAGCAACGTGATAGAAAATACTAATGTGGTTTCATAGGTGACTGAGATGAAATACACCTTAGACCATATTAATCTATCGTGCTATAATCATACAGCAGTTACCAGACAAACTGTGATGTTACTGTGAATTTCACAGTGGTTGCTGCAAAAATGAAACTTCTCCTTTCTATTGAAATTTTGCACTTGAAGTGTCAGTTTGACCTGTTTGTTTTTTCCTCTACAGTTTCCTACAGAAAGTCATACTGCACTGGTCCTACTTACACTCAGATGTGAACTGGACTGCAATACTTTATTCTGTAACATAAGCTTTCTCTGTCTTTTCATAAATGTCCCCTAATATTTGACTCAAATTTGTTAATCAGTCTGATTGATACGGCTATATACAAACCAAACAGCTATACTGCTTGTGTAATGTTTTATGGGAAGTACTCATCAAAAGAAATACACAATGAATTCAAAATCAGATATAACTTGGTGTTATCATCTAGTGCTTCACAACATCACTTTAACTAAAATAGTCCCCAATAGTTAGTCAGAATCTCTCTTTTTTCACTGACTCCAGTAATAGTCATGTTAAAGCTTAAAATATTGGTGCTCTAAATTCAGCTGTTCTTGAGGGAGAAAAAAAAAACAACTAATCTGCACCTACTTCAAAGTGCACCTAGCATTTTGTCATTCTGATTTAAAAAATAATCTGTACCAGCTAACAGAAATATTGACATTGGTCAGTGTAAACTGGTTTGTGATTCATACAGCTAAGCTGTTCTGACCAGGACATATCTTTGAAAAGTTTATATTAACATTGAAAATTTAGGCCTCCACGGCAGCTTGGTGTCACCACTGTATTTGTGGTTTAGGGACCTGAGTTTCATAACAGCTTGATTTTCTTGCTGCTTATTCTACATACCTTAAGTGTTCTTTTTTATTATTTAATTTTTTTTCTTTAATGTAAGGGACAGTGGATTGTTGTGAAGGAGGACAGTTGGATTTATGTAAATACTTACAACTCCCTGAACAATATTGATGTATTGGGAGTTTTTGGCTATTTAGCTTTGGTGCAAAGAGAATGTTTCTAAGTTATGAAATGTCTGAAAATTTTGACTTGGCAAGAGATGACAAACATCTCTTGTTCTTATGGTGCTGGCAAGGAAAAGAAAAAAAAATGTATTTGCATTTCTGTTGTCTTTATGTCACTACCTTTTGTGAACAAAGCACATTTATTAAAAAAAAAAAACAAAACAAACTGAAGATTTCAGAGTATTTTTACTTTTCCTTCTGCAGTCAGTTTATGCTATTTATTTTCAATAAAACAGCTGCATTTATTTTATGCCCAAATTACAGTAAAGATGTTAGATTTACTGCTTCAGCTCAGTTGTGGTCTTTGCTTTATAGAAGGAGTTTTAAAGTTCCTCCAGTCCATCTCCTATTTCTTCACTTGCCTGCTTACAACGTGACTCACTTGCTAATGCAGATCTTACCACTCTAGATGTTCTTAATTTCCCCTTTATCTTTCTGAAATATATCTTTTCAGCACCTGTTGCCCTTTGGTATCATTCCTGTATTCCTTTATATGATGGTTTTGGGAGTGAAGGTGTGGGGAAAGGATGGCAATGGGAAAAGCAACCTAAAGAATATAAAATGCAAGTCTTGCAAGACTGGAGGAAAATTAAATTTCAGTAGAGCTGGAGTGTCCCCCTAGTCCTGTAGAGCTTAGCTGGTGTATTTCATCCTTTGCAGAATGGTAGGGGTTGGAAGGGATCTCTGGGGATCATCAGTCTACCCCCTGTGCTAAAACAGGTTCCTACAGTAGGTTGGATGGGAAAGCATCCAGGTGGGTTTTGAATATTTGCAGAGAAGAAGACTCCATAGCCTCTCTGGCAGCTTGTTCAATGCTCTGTCACCTGAGAGTGAAGATTAGAAAGCATGGTTTCACAGCTGTTCTGAGTATTGCATCTTGCAGAATCTTCCTGTCTCAGAGACTTGCTGATCTGCCTTTGAAAGTGATTATTAAAAGTGCTTTTCATCACAACTCCATTGATCCACAGCGCACCCTGGATTCTGTGCAATGTTGGGTAGTTTAAGTTTCTGCTCCTTTTTCCTCACCTGTGGAATGGGGGGAAGTTTTCTAGAAGCTTCTAGCTAGCATGCATAGATGCTTGGGATTTTTTTCTTGTATTTTAAGTAAACCATCCTTTAAGAAATCTACAAATAGTTGCTCGAAGAGCAAAATCACAGTTGAGAAAGTGTCAACTCAGTGCTGTCATTGCTAAAGCATCTGAAGCACATGACTTCCTGGCTTTTAAAACATTATGAAAAAGAATTAGGCCAATTGGCCAGTTTTATTGAAATTTGGAAGAGAGGTAAGGATGGCAGAGGTGACTGAGGCTCCTGTGCAGAAAAGGGAGGATGACAGCTGGAGCTCCTTGAGCGTGCAGCTGTTGCCTTTCAGCAACGTTGCTTTTCGACTGCGGGTGGTGTTGCGATGGATTGCAGGACAATTCAAAGAGCCGCTGTATGGCAGCTGTCTGAACTTCAAACTCTTTATTATTTCGTGCGCGTAAGCAGTGGAGCTATTAAGATCCTGAAACTTCCTCCTCTTACCCACCCGACTGTGCTGTGCAGTGCAGCGAGATACGGACGTTATTCTGCATAACGTCAGGGTGGCTCTGAATGCCGTCCTTGCAGAATGCGGCTGCCAGCAAATGAGGGGAGGCAGGAGCGGCGCGGCTGGCCGCGTCGTGCCTCAGGCACAGCCTCTTTCTGCTCCGAACACAGGCGGACGGGGCGCGCCTTTGCTTTTCGTTCCCCGCTCCGTCAGCGCTGCACTCTGTGCGCCTGTGGAACGGCGAACGCGCCATCACTCCCGCGTATCCACTGCGTGCCGAATTCCCCTGGCAGGAGGCGGCCAGGAGAACGCGGCATGCCCCTCCCCGGCGGCTGCAGCTCGCTTCGCCGCGAGGACCGCGCCGGGCTTGCAGGCAGCGGCCCGCTCCTGGCGCGGCCAACGGGAGCGCATCTCTCCCGCCGTCCCCGCCTCGCTTTCATTCTCAGCTGCTGTCGTTGCCCTCGGCGCTTCCCTTCCGCCCGGCTCCTCGGAGCGCCGCGCCGTCCTCCCGCAGCCGGGCGCCCCCACCGCCAGCACCCCGTAAGGCAGCTCTCCGAGCCCCGCGGCGCCGAGCGGGCGCGGGCCCGGCTCTTCCGCCGCCGCCGCGATTTGGGCCTCGGCGCTGCCCGTAGCCGCGGCCTCAGCCTCAAGATGGCGGCGGCGCGGCGCGGGAGGAAGTTGGCGGGGCGCCTGTTGAGGTGAGTGCGGGACGGGACGAGAGGCCTCGCGGGGCCGAGGATTCCCCGGAGGAAAGCACCGGGGCGCAGCCCCCTGCACGAAGCGGCGGTCGCGCATCAGGGCGAGGCGGGCTCCTGTGCCAGCGGCAGCAGCGGCGCCTGGCTCGGCGTTGCACGGCGGGTTCCCCCGGCACGGCTCCGGGCAGCCGGTGGGGCCTGCCGGCCGGGCTGCGCTCCGTGCTGCCGCTTGAGGACGAACGGAATCGTTACTCTGAGGTTGGAACCTGTTCCAACGTTAGCGCGTTGACTGAGCGGTATTTTTCTTGCTGAAAGTCGCTTTTGCTACAAATGCTCGCAGAACTGGAAGAATGTGGCAGGAGGTGGGGTCCGGTAACAGGCTTTGGGAATCCAGCGTAGATGGGCCTTGCCCAGCCTTGAAACCAACGAACCGTCCTTGTGCTACTTTGGGTATAGTTTGGGTTTTTTTCTGCCTGTGCAAATGGTGGTACAAACTGCCTTGGGAGCACTGTGCCTTTTTATGCAGAAAAGCTCTTGCAGAGTTGAGTGTTTAAATCTGTTTGCAGGCTCCAGGCTCTTGCAGCCGTAAGTCTGCAAAATTCAAAGAGTGCTTAGAAAGAAATGTACACATTGTGTTTTACTCAGTATCGAGTTTGATTTGATCAGCTGTTCAACTCCGAAGTGCCAGCTTGAAACACAGATGCCGTTTGAGGTAAAAGACAAACTTTGAACTGTCCTTTGTTCCAAGTTTAACCACAAACGAGTGACAAAAGCAGCAGATAGTTATATTTTGAAGAATAAATCTAATATAGGAATTCCCCATTGGATTTGCTGTGTTACAGTGACTTGGTAAAATCTGTGTATCTGTGTGCATAAATCACAAAAATATGGCTTTTTATTCTTTTAACCAAAATGTTGGCTGTGCGTTTTGATTAGAACATTGGTGTCTAATAGAATGTTTTCTTAGTGGACATTTTTGCTAATCCAGTAGAAAATCAGGAAGAGAAGGCTGGATTTAGGGTCTGGGCTGCCAGAATGCTGCTGTGCTGCAGGTAACTCAGCACTTGAACCAGCTCTGTGTTTTCTGCTATCAACATGCCCACGCAGACACCTTGACGCCAGTAGCAGCAGTTTCTGTTTCATGTTTCCCATGATGTGATGACAACAAAACTCAGCTCAACGTGTGCTCAGCCAGATAGAGAGGCTTGCTGTGGGGGAGTTTGTTGTATAACAGCCTACGAAAAGTGATTTAGCAGCAGTGGCAGAATTTGAAGCCAGGCATTGTGTGGAAGCTCACGCATTTTGTGTGTGGGACAAACCAATGCCTTGTATGAAGCTGTTGTCTGAATGAATACCTCCAGCATTAATCCTTGTCTTGGAGGATGCCAGGAAGGTTCTGTGACAGCAGGACAGCACGTGCAGCTCTGGTAGCAACCATCAGACATCAGTGCTGAGAGTTGGAAGAGAATGTGAAATGATTCCTCTGTGTTTGTGGCTTGAATGAGGGCTAACTGGGAGCTTGTGTGGAGGAAGAGAGTATGTGGAAGTTTAATAGATGGCTCAAGTTGTCTCCAAAGCGAATGTTGGTTGTGTTACAAGAATACAGGAGTAAGCACAGAGCTGTAATACCTGATACGTTGTCACCAGGAACATGATAGCTAACTTTGGGCTGTGCGAGCTATGTAGAGAACAAGTGAAGTGCTTAGAGGCACCTGTATTACTGGGTGAGGGGCAAAATATTACGAGATCCTAAGTGTTCAGACAGTTATGAATTCAGTTTATATATATAAATCATTAATGAGTACTGTGAAAGGCATTGCTGAAATCCAGAGAACTCACAGAGCATCATGTAATAGCCATCCCTTGTGAGTAGATTGTGTGTATTCTGTTTCAATTAAACAGATTTTTAATGCACAATTCTTTCCAAGTAATATCTGCAGTGTACCTTAGATGATTTGAAAATGTTACCAGTCTGAAGTAATTTAAAAAATAGGACTCCTTAGGCTCAGTTTGTCACTAAGCCAGTTACTTAAGGTGGTTTGATATTGCATATCAGTCTTTGGGGCAACCAAAACGTGTAGGCCAATCAATCCCTCATTTCTGTTCTTGGTGCATTTAAAGAAACTGGAACATAAAACTGAAGAGAGAATGTGACCTTAAGTTAGGAATTTCAGTCAAAGTATTCTCTAATGTTGATGTTGATGGAAATAGAAACAAAAGTTCTCAAAGGAATTCTCATTATGGAAATTAATGGTATTGTTTGTATGTAAACTTGGTAAGATTAGACACCCGTAGGATTGCAGTAGTCCTCATGTTTCAAAATTGAGTTCAGACTGGGAAGAAGCATATCCTGTAAAATATTGATGATCTCTAGTGAGATCTCCATAGATCTCACCTAAAATATGACTGTGTGTTCTGGGCTGAATTGGAAACAAGGAAGGTGATTATTCCCCTCTACTCTGCCATCATGAGGCCCTATCTGAAATACTGTGCCCAGGTCTGGGGTCCCCAGCATTCAGAAGATGTGGAACTGTGGGAGCATGTTCAGAGGAAGCCTCAAAGGTGGTCAGAGGGCTGGAGCACCTCTCCTACGGTGAGTTGGGCTTGTTCTGGCTGCGGAAGAGAACATCAGGGAGATTTCATTGTGGCCTTCCAGAGCTCACAAGGAGCTTATAAATAGGAGGGAGACAGACTTCTTAGATGGTTTGATAATTATAGGATGAAGGGGAATGGTTTTAAACCAAAAGAGGGGAGATTTAGATTAGATGTTAGAGAAAGTTTTTTCACTGAGGTTGCCCTGGGAATTTGCGGATGCCCCATCCTTGGAGGTTTTCAAATCCAGATTAGATGAGCCCCTGGGTAGTCTGTGATCCATTGAGTAGCAACCCTGCCCACAGCAGGAGGTTGGAACTAGCTGGTCTTTCAGGGCCTTCCAACCTCAGCAATTCTATGATTTTGTATGGAGAAGGAAACCCCAGCAGTTAAATGGGTCTGGGTAGGAAGAGTTTACGTTTTAAATATAATGTTTATCTTGATTATTTTGTTTTTGTTGTTTGTTTCCTGGGGAAATATGTCTCAGAGGTAAAACTGAAGGCACTGAGATTGTTTAAAAAAACAAACAAACAAAAAAAAAAAAGGCTGAATTTTATCTCTGAATACAGTGAGTGCCAAATCAGTTGATAAATGATATCACCATTCCTCTTCTGAGAAGTGGAGATAATGATAATTGCCTTTTTTGTGATCTATTTTGGGTTGAAGGTTGTTAACTGATTGTGAAGTTTTTTTTGTAAACTCTGTAGCTATTTGACTGGTAAAAGGAAGACTTGCAAAACATATTGAGAAGGTTTGGTATAAAGGCAGAACTTAAAAATGTGAAGTAAAATAGAACAAATGTGAAGTAAAACAATGCTTTAAAGCAATAGTGAAATGTTTTGTAAGGTAATGGATAAAACAGAAATGCTTTGGATACACTTAGATATCCAATACAAATACCCAGTGGATGGTTCGCATGGCAAAGCTGCACAGGCCAAGTTTGGTTTAAATTTTTCTTGTTCAAATTATGAAATAAGATTTATGTGAAAACAGTTTGATGTATTAATGATGAAATAAATTTGAATCACCTTTAAAAACACACTTGTCTTGTATTCATTTTGTATTTCAGATGTTCAATGGATGTGTTGTGTTTATGTTGTATACTGTTAAAGAGAGTTAATTGCCACTAACATTTTTAAAAATTTCTCTTGCAGGCACTTCAGTGATTCTGGACCACTGTTGCTGAAATGATACTACAAAAAGCAGTTGTCACACTGAATTTGTTGGATGAAACCCCAATATTTTCTTTTACTCAAGTGGGTAAAAACCCCTAACTGCAGTTTACATGTGTGGGTCAATACGTTACTGCGTTAGTCATTGTCTCTATGCAGCAATGACAAGGCTGGAAGAAGCAAACAGAGAAGTGAACATGCATTCATCAGTCAGATATCTTGGCTATCTTGCCAGAATCGACTTGCTGGCTGCCGTTTGTATGGGCCTTTATGTCAGGTGGGAAAAAACTGCAGATGCGCTGATTTTGGTAATATTTATTCTTGGACTGTTTGTTCTTGGAATTGCCAGCATACTGTACTACTATTTTTCAATGGAAACAGCAAGTTTGAGTCTCTCCAATCTTTGGTTTGGTTTTTTGCTTGGCCTTCTCTGTTTTCTCAATAATTCTGCCTTCAAAAATGATGTGAAAGAAGAAGCTACTAAATATCTACTCCTTTCTGCCATTGTTTTGAGGGTACTATGTTCTTTGGTTGAGAGGATTTGTGGATGTATCCATCATCGACCGACTCTGCTGACAACAGTTGAATTTTTGGAACTAGTTGGATTTGCAATTGCCAGCACAACTATGCTGGTAGAAAAATCTATGAGTATTATTCTGTTGGTTATAGCTTTGGCCATGCTGATTATTGACTTACGTATGAAGTCTTTTTTGGCAATTCCAAATTTGGCCATTTTTGGAGCCATTGCATCCTTACTCTTTTTTCCATCACTGCAAATTCCCACAAACCCTTTTGCCTTGGCCTGTTTCTTCAGCTGCCTGATTTCGGATCCCCTCCTCGATGTCTACTTCAGTGGACTTTCAGTTACAGAACGATGGAAGCCCTACCTGTACCGTGGTAAAATCTGCAGAAGGCTTTCTGTCATCTCAGTGGGAGTCATTGAACTAATCTTTTTCATTCTTGCTGCCTTCAAGCTACGGTATTTGGATCTCTGGTACTTTGTGATACCTGGCTTTTCTATCTTTGGTATTTTTTGGATGATCTGTCACGTGATCTTTTTTATAACTCTTTGGGGATTTCACACAAAGTTAAATGACTGTCATAAAGTGTACTATACCCACTGTGCAGAAAACAACAGCCTTGACAGAGTTATGGCATCTAAAGGAATGCGTCACTTCTGTTTGATTTCAAAACAGCTAGTATTTTTCAGCCTTCTCGCAACTGCTGTTTTGGGGGCAGTTTCTTGGCAAGTAAGTAATAATCTCCTTATTTTGATCTCCCTCTTGAGAATGTCCCTGAGAATTACTGACTTCTTAAAATTCTTGTGACATTTGGTGGTGTATCGTGTCATCAAAGCTTAGCGATTCAGAGTTGGAACCTTTGGCTTCAAAAGCTTCCTCTTCTGATTTAACGCTTTGTGTTGCCTTGACTGTGGCTAATGAAGGCAACTGGAAATTCTTCATGGCCAGAATGGGAAGTTCCGATCATGTTTCCAGGGTAAAACAAGTGTGAAAAGTATTTTAAATTTACCCACTTAGAAGATTATTTTGACTCCAAATTACTCGTGCCACAAAATTTGTTCTAAAACTGAATCACTGCATCAGCTCCCACTAACACACACCATATCGAGGACTTTATTTTATGGACTGTTTTAATAGAATCAAGGCAGACCTTTGTTTTTAGAGTGCATTTTTCAATGGTTTTGCTTGGTATTTAAACATTAATGGGAAGTCAGGAGTCTGACAAACCAGCAGATGGTTGGTGTGAGTGCTCTCAGTGGCTTACATTCAAATCTGTACATATCTCAGAAAGACCATTTCATAAAATCAGTGTTCTTAAGACTTGTGGTGGTTTTTTTCCCCACTTAGGACCTGTGTGATTTCTTTATCAGAAAACATACATTCCTCCAAATGCTTGTTCAGTGTCCAAATTAAAGTACATTGCATGTTATCACTGGGGCAGCAGGGCAAAAAGGGAGTTTGGCATCTGCCTTCTTCGGTTGATCTGAAAAGCTTCAACAATCTCTTTTTATGTTCATGCGTCTCTCAAAAGAATTTTATCAATTAGATACAAAAATACAAAGATCTATCTAGCAATCTAGTATCTAGCAATACAAAATTGCTACATGTAGCAGAAATATCTGTAGTTTCCAGAGATTTCCAAAACAGTTTCTCATTCCTGCAGTTTCTTAGATTTAAATAGCCTCGTGGATTAAAGGTATTACAGAGTTTTTTGAAAAGGCAATTAACAGGTGTTTTGTAAGAGCTGCGGTGGGAGAGGAGGGTAAGGTTTTTGGGTTTGTTTTTATCCTTTGTTAGGAGCACCAGAGGTTAACAGACAAGCTCGCCATAAAGGGTGGAAAGTTTTGCTTTTTCTTGAAGAAGTATTAACGTGTGTCACTACAGTGCCTCAACTTGCGGAAAGGACAAAAGAACCCCAAAAAATTACAGTAGAGAAGAGAATTGCCCAGAATATATTTCTCACATCATCCACCTGGACAAAGCATTTGACACTGTACTACACATCAGTCTTGTCTCTAATTGGAGAGGTGTGGATGTGGTGGATGAATCATTTGGCAGATAAGGAATTGGTTGGATGGTTGAGCTCCCAGATCTGCTGTCAATAGCTTCGTGTCCAGGTGGAGACCTGTTACAAGTGGTGTCGCTCAGAGGTCTGTATTAGGACCAGCAATATTAAACATCTTGTCAGTGATGCAGACTGTGGGATTCAGTGCACCCTCAGCAAGTTTATGGATGGCACCACACCAAGTGGTGTAATGAAGGTGATGTGCTAGGGGATGCTATGGATGCTATCCACAGGGATATAAACAAGCTCAAGAGAAATGGGCCCATGCAAACAACATGAAGTTAACAAGTCTAAGTGCAGTATTCTGCACGTGTTGAGGCAATCCCATGCATGAATACAGGCTAGGTGGAGAATAGATTAAGAGCAGCCTGAAGGAGAAGGTCTTGGGGGTGCTGGTTGATGTAGCACTCAATGTGAGCCAGCAGTATGCTCTTGCAGCCCAAAAAGCCAACCATGTCCTGGGCTGCATCAAAAGAGGGGTGACCAGCAGGGCAAAGGAGATGCATGTCCCCCTTCACTCTGCCCTTATGAGCTCCTACCTGCAGTACTGCATTTAGCTCTAGCCTAAGAAGGATGTGGAGCTGCAAGTCCAGAGGAGAGCCAGGAGTGATCAAAAGGCTGGAGCACCTCTGCTATGAAGAGAGGCTGAGAGAGTTGCAGTTATTCAGCTTGGAGAATAGAAATATCCAGAAAGACGTCATTGCAGCCTTCCAGTACTGAAAGGGGGTCTACAGAAAAGAATGGGAGGGACCTTTATCAGAGAGTATAGAGATAGGAGAAGGTGTAACAGCGTTAAACTAAAAGGGGATAGTTTTAGATTAGATGTTGGGAAGTAATTATTTGCTCAAAGGGTGGTGAGGCACTGGCACAGCTGCCCAGAGATGCTGCGGATGCCCCATCCGTGGAGGTGTCCAAGGCCAGGTTGGATGGGGCCCTGGGCAGCCTGAACTGGTGGGTGCAAGGGGGTTGAGCAGTGTGGGGGAATGATATGATACTGAATCTCCTTTCAAGCTCAAGCCATTCTAGGGTTGTGTTTACTGAAGGTAAAGGTGCTAATGCACTGAAAGAAATGAAACAATAGATTGGGAAACAAAGCAGTAAATATAGGATATCAGCGTATTAATACTGTTGACTTCCATATTTTTTTTTCTTCTGCAAATGATGTGATTTTTATTGAGCAGAATGCAGATCTTTAATTTTGCTGTGCCAGATAACTTCTTTAGTGAAAGCAAATTTCTCACAATCTCTCAAACATTCTTCCTGGTTTCTTTGTCTTCGCTCTACTCCTTTAATGTTCTTGGGTTAATAATTACAAAAATGGATTGGCTGGAGTTGCTCCACCTGTTTGTACCCAGCAAAGCAGTCAGAACAGATCAGCTGTACAAGTTGGCCAGGTAGCTGGGGGTGGTGGTTTCTTCTGATAGCTTCCGGTGCCTGTGTGTGGAGCCTTTCAGGGCTGGCTGCCCCCTCCCTACCAATCTGACTGACATGTTACAGCCCTGCTCTCAGGAGGGCTGCTTTGTGAGTATGGCTTGCCTGCATAAGCAGGGAAGATTGGATTCAAACTCATCCTGTTACTTTCTGCTCTTTGTGCTGATAATTCCATGTCATTTCTTTTTTTTCCATCCCTGTTGTGCGCCCCCAAAATAACTGCAGCTGTTACGAGTTTGATCATTTTCAGGCCTCTCTAATTCTGGGGAAGTGCTGTTGTGCTTCAGAATGCCTTGTGCAGGACATTTAGCAAGAGGGAAGCTGACAATTCAGCTAAAACCATATTTTTGGTATTTTTGGTTAAGTTCAGTTTCTAGCATCCTGTGTGTAAATAAGATAAGCTGTCACTCATCACCTCTGTCTGATGGATTGTGTATTTACCTACTGAGTGGGAAGAAGAGTAATCATAGTGGCAGAAATGAAAGGCATTGGACCACATACTCATCTGGAAATATGTTTCATAATTGTAATTATTTTCAAAGATAATTATGTTGACATTTATTTTACTGTATTTGTGTTTCTTGCATTGTGTATTTACAGTAATGAATCAGTTTAAGATTATGAGTGCAGTTGTCTTCAGCTAAAAGCATTTCTGTCTCAGAGGTGTGATGTTTGCCTCACAGATCACTCTCTGCCTATTTCTTCTGTTGTCAGAAAAGGTGGTGTTTTATCAGACCTGCCAGAGCACAGCTTAATAAATGGATACCTTGGTAGTTACAGAAACTGCAAGAAGCCATGCCTCTTCTGTATCTGTCTGGGCAATGTCAGTTTTCAAAATAATTAGAAGTAAGAAAGCAATGATATATCAGCATACAATTTATCAGTATAAATTGGGATTTAATATGTTGTGTTCTAGTTTTTAGAAACTGTTGCTTCAAAAGAAGAAAAGAAAAAAAAAACTGCTTATGTTAGTATGTAATAGAAAAAGATTTTAAGGCTGGTAGATGCTTTCCCATGACAGTGTAGGCTTAATGTTTATTAGTGGTCAAAAAAGCAAATTAAATACTGGGAGTTGTTGGGGAAGAACTGGAGGTATTTTTATCCACTGCATAAATACATAGCTTCAGTATTTTCAGTGCAATTCTTAATTGTCACCCACTAGATAAGAGAACAGGAGAAGGTTTGCAGAAGAGTGATGAAATTCATTAGAGATTTGAAACAGGAATGGCTAAATGAGAATGCTTCAGTATGAAAATGAGCTAAGTGGGAATATAAAATACTGTGCGTGTCAGAAAGTAAATTCCAGTCCAAAAGCAGATGAGAATCAAGTTGGCATGAGACAAGTTTGAGAAGACAGGTAGGATTAGTTCCCTGTACAGTCAGGTTTGCTTGGACTGTATCACAGCACGCACTAAGTGGTCACTGAGGTGCAAGGGGAAACTGGACAAGTTGATGGGGACACATTTCCTGAGGCTTATATTCGTGTTATTTTCTTCTGTCTCAAGCAGGACTGTGGAGGATGGAAGTCCTGTCAGCCAAGGACCTTTCTTTAAGGGAAGTTCAGCCTTTGCAATCAGCCAAGGGCTGTAAGTCTCTGTTTCTGGGACTTTGGTATGTGCTTAGAAAGAACTAAACTGATTCTGTCTCCGACAGATCAAACTTGAAATGTGAAGAGTCAACCTGAAGGATTTGCTCTGGAAGCACAAGAAATGTAAAAGTAATTTGTTAAAGCCGATTGCACTCAAAAATTGAGAAGCAGGTTTTCAGTGGGACGTAATGACATGGTCTGCTTCTGAGAGTAATCCCTGCTTTTGCTGGAAGGGAAGGACACCTTGACTTGTCAGTAGAAACACGCTCAAATTTTTCTTGGAAAAATCTGCAAGCATTCTTCAGTGCCTTTATTTTTCTGTAAATAATTTTAGTCAGATCAATAGCCTCTTTAACTCCAGTAGCACTTACTCATTTCAGCAATTACTCATGTGCCTGTCTGTAATTAGGCTATTGATTGGAACAGAATCCAGCAGAAGACATGCGAATGACTCAGGCATTACTTCTTTCAGATGCTAATAAAATGATGAAAAAATTGCACATGAAGGTCTTGGAATTTGCAAGCAAAGATCTTGGGAAGGTTTGAAGGAATCTTTTTCTAAGAAACTAAAAATCAAATTGTTAAGTGCTGTATGCCAAGGTAAGGGAAGAAGAGTCTGATTTATGTTAATGCATTACTGTCAGT